GGCCTGCTGCTCCGCCATTGCTCCGGCAGCGGGAAGAAGCGCCCCGTTACCACAGTTACCAAATGACCCCCCCCCCAGCACTTCCGGGACAACCATAGAGGAGCGCGGCGCTGCGCTGTGTCCGACGGGAAGGCGGCGCTGGCGGCGGGAGGACTCAGGATACCTCCGTAGTCAGCCCCGGTTCCTTCGCCGTGGATGCGTCATGGCGTTTGCCATGAAGAACACCAAACTAGCTAATGAAATCATAAAATATAAGTTTATTAGGAAAGGTTTATTCGGTTCCTCTGTGGTGTAAGATGGAGTAAGGCCGCGAATGCGGAGGACTGCCCCAGCCGAGGGGCCTGCGGAGGCTTCGGCCCCTCACGCAGGCTGGGCTCCCCTAAACCCGTTTACAGAGCTATAGACTATGAGGAGGGTGGAGGGAGGGATGTTGTGGGTTTTTTTCTCCTTTGTATGTTCCACAGAGGCGGCTGCGGAGCTGCCCACCGCAGCGGGCGTTCGGGGGGGTCGTTACAGACAGGCAATGCCTATGGGAGGGTTTGAAAGCTGGAGGAGAGGAACGGCAGCAGATTGCTCCCACAGAACAGGCCTTTAACAATCATTGTCTTAAGGTTTCCCAACAGCCATCAAGATTGAAGACACCACAGACCAGGTTTCTTTTGGGTTGGAGCCTGCCCACATCCTTTGTCTCTTGAGTTTAGGGAAGATGAAGTAAAAACCCAATGCTAGATAGCCTCTGTCCTTCCACTTGCCCAGCCCACCATGCTCCAGAAGAGCACACAGCTTTCAAAAGCATTTTTATACATGGGTGGGAAATCTTTGTGAGCCAAGGGGGAAGCCCAAGCAGCCACTGCCTGCTGGTAGAGACCCTGCTCCATCCCACCCATTGCGAGCAGTGCCAGGAAAAGCAGCCCAGAGGAACCGATGGTGGTGCAGGTACTCTCCAATGTTATCCCCAGGGGCAAATAAGCCATCGTGGGGGGAGCTGAAGGGGAAAGCAGGTACAGAGGGACAAAACTACATCGCTGGAAGTGTCAGTATTCATCAGTGAGGGAGCTGAAGTGACTCCGATGTCAGCTGGAAATGGCATGTAATATTAGACTGCCTGTGATCTGCCTTTAATTCACCCCTTTGCAAATTTATTCCCCCTTGAAGCTGGCAGAGTGGCAGAAAGCTTTGAGGACACTAGCCTGGCGAAAAATACCACAGAAGGAATTCCTATACAGGAGTAAATTTAATAAAACCACCACCAATTGTTTACTTTAACATAGCTCTTGTTACAGAAATCATAAAAATGGACTCAGTAGCTAACTCATTAGTTCTTTCCTCTTTTAATTGAAAAATACCCCGCTGATGGCAACTTCTACTGCACTAGATGGAGTGTTAAATATTTGCCAGGACAGTATGCCCAGTAATTGAGCCCAAAACAAACACAAAGACAATTCCATCACCTTTCCTTTTCAATGTTACGACTCATTATAATGTAAGTGAAACTTAAAAACAGCAAGGAACAGTCCATTTGACAGATGAAAGGGGGAGGGAGAGGAGATCCACAGCCAAAATCTTTCCATAAGTCTTTTGAGAAGCGGTGTAAAATACCCCTCCTGTTCCTGCCTCAGAATTAAAAATTAAAACTCTCAATACACACACACACACCCCCCCCCCTCCTCTGGGTTCAGAGCGCGTGTCCTATGTGCATGGATGGGAGCAGCAGAGTTGGATCTGGGCAGGTATCAATCTGGGGCCAAAAAAAAAAAGCGCAAAACATCCTGAATCACAGTGTGCATAGGTCACTAATGCAACGCACACAGGGTTACCAAGCATCAGGAGCTGCACGCAAGGGGATGGGTCCGTTGTCAGCAATGGATACACACACACAACCACGGAGGCCGTGGACGTAAAGAACTGCAGGAAGAGGAGAAACCCAACTTCTCTGGTATAAGCCTTTCAAAAAAAAATAAATTTATTCACTATACCAGCACACGCTTCCCCCACCCGATCCCAGGGAAAACAAAACAAAACAAAAAAAATCAAACGGAAAGAAAATGCACAGCAAATAGACATAATCTTGAAGATTTTTAAAGAATAAATATTTTTTTGTAATTAAACATTATGCAAACACGTGCCACGCTTGCTCTTTGTCCATGCATATGCGCTATATACAACTTTGAAAAATACTGTGTTGTCCTCTTTTTGTTTTAAAAGTCATATACAAAGGTTTTTTTTTTCCTTGCTGTGTACCCCCCCTCCTCCCCTCCCCAAGAATCATCTCTACAATGAGCCAATCGACATTCATCTGTGTACTTGAGTGGCAGAGAAGAGGAGGGGGGCAGGAAAGCCATCCCCCCTTACCAAAGTACATCAAAATGGCTGGTTTGGACATGAAAAGCAGTGTCAAGAAACTGGTTTAAATTTCATCTGTACTACACACAGGAAAAGAAAGATAGAAAAGAAAAAGGAGTTGGCTTGGAGAATGAAGCTACGTTACAAGTTAAAGTTGGAGGGTTTTTTTTTTTTTTAGTGCGTCTGTCACACTCTTATTGGCCACCTAGAATACTGTTGTACAATGGTTTATCTACCTTTTTTATTACAATATAATTTACTTAAATTTTCTGTTAATAAAACAGAATCCCGGTACTACAGACCAGCGGTGTAACAGGCGTAGCGCCTTGTGTGTGTTTTATTTGAATCGCATGAGCACTCTAAATGGTAAAGGTTTCAGAGTTCATTTTATGCGGGGCCAGTCTCAGTCCTCAATGTACTCCCACAGGTCCTTCTCATAGCCTTCATGCACGTGCTGCAACAAAACCCTTCGTCGACTCTCGCAGTATCTGCAGCAAAGAGGAACAGCATAGAAAAGGCAGGTTAGGAATCGCAGCTCATCCCCAGCATCGAGTAACACAAACCTACATTAAGTCTCACTTCCAAAAGAAGAGATCCCCTGAGAAGGGACTTTGTATTTGTAGTCCGTTAACAGCACTAATTAAGACTTCAGTTACTCCAGTCACTCAACTCCAGGTCCCTGGCTGAAAAAAGAGCATGCAAATTTAGAGTTTCCCATGCAGAAGTATCCCCAGAGCCCCTACAGCTGAGGAACCTCCATTAATAACTGAAAACGGAAGAAGCAGCGGCTGCAATTTGCAAAAGCCAGAGCACAGCTTAGCAGTGACACCTGAAATGAGACAAAGCTCTCCTCAAATGTGGGCTGGTACCTACTCTGAGCTGTGTTAGGACAACAAAAATCCAGGAGTTAACTGGGCAATGCCTCAGCAGCACTGACCCAGTTTTATTCCCCTCCAAAATCCCAGTGGAGATTGAAGCAATCAAGCTGGCTACAAAAAGAGTTACCGATCTGGTTGGAGTGCAAATTTTACCTTGCATCGCAACTCCTGGGTCTCAGAGGGGCATTACACTCTGCAGGGTCTGCCCACCTATGCTCATTTAAACAGATAAAGCTGCAGATAAAACTGACCCCAGAGCTAGGTACAGTCCTACCAGGATCAATGATACTGAGGAAAAGAGGTATCATAGGAACATATCAAAAGATGCCACGTTCATTTCGGGTGCATTAGCCAACAAAAAGGTAAAGAGCAGAGAAACATTTAAAGTATTCAGGTTCCAAGAGCAAATTACAAATAAGCAGCAGGCATTTCTGGTTTAAACCCCTTCCAGAGGCGATATCAAAGTCTACATCATCTTTAGGCACACAGGGGACAAGACAAGTCTTAGTAGCAGCTCGCAAGGCCCCGGGCACAGCTGTGTAGCAGGTTCCTGGTTCAGTTTTTTTTCCAGCCTGGAGCAGTGTGCTGCAATATGAGAAACTGGAACCCAGGAACCAACTGCTAAGTTACCAGTTCCTGCTGGGAATTCTGTGGTTCAGTTTCTGGGCAAGCACATCAGTCAGGATGGCATCCAAAGGGCTCTCACAGCTGGGAACCTGGCTTGCTCAGCAATGGCCAAACATCCCTCTGCTTGCTAAAGTGAGGTGCACAGGAGGAATCTCCCAGCAGGTGACCCTAGCAGAAAGCTATCCTTGATCACAACACATGCTAACACACAGGCAGAAACTCCTCACCTTAACCCACAGCCCTTATGAAGCTAACTGTTCAGGATCTGATCAGACTGACAGATTTATCTGAATAAAATTGTTCTGGCTTTTCTCATTGCTATCAGCTGTTGCAACAGAAATCATCGTACACAAAGTCCCATTGATTTTCTGAAGCATGTGATAGCAAACATGCAGTTTCTGCTTTCCCCACTTCAGTTATTTTGCTGCTGGTGGTGGGGGTTTAATCCTGTTTTCTAGAAATGTCTTTGCAAGCTAAGAGCTCAAAAGAGCTGAAACCAAATTAGCTAGAAGGTCAGTTCCTACAGTTTCCCAGAGCTCTTTAAACCCACCTTGGTAACATCCTTGGTCCCAGTCTTGCATCGGTACACCATAACCAGTACAGGAAGAGCACCATGCAGCACATAAGACATGACTGAACTAGTTAATTAGGAACCTGCACGGGCTTGACAGATGCATACTTTCTTCTCAGAAACATGAAGGCAGGTTTGGGATACTATGTTTTCAGGCAATTGAGGCTATATTAGGTTTTAATTTCTTCTGGATAGCTGTTACCATCCGTAGAAGAGCATCCAGTTTCAGAGGACTTAAGTGAACAAGCAGCTTGATCTGAGATACGCTTTAAGGCCACCATTAAGTTGGTAAGTTACAAAATGTCTCAAAAGAGAAGCTCTAGCGAGTCTCCTCCAGCTCCAGCTGTGCTGCCAGACCACGGCAGAATGGGCCACAGGCCCACCAAAGCTTAACTGCTACTTCCACTCCCCAGAGTCCCTTAGTCGCTACAGCTCACCCTACTTTGCCTTCCCTCCCCCCCCAAGCTAGGCATAACAAATTCAGTGACTTTGGCAAAATGCCTCAAAAATGCGAGCCATAATCCTGTGACTCATCCACATTTACAGCTTTGTATTTTTCCACTGTGCAGAAGCAATTCCCCTGGGACTGTAAAAAGCTTGGCTTTTGTGTCACTTGGACCCCATTTCTTCTGCTTGTCTCCTCAGCTGGGCAGGTTGCTCTCTCCCTCTTCTTTAAGAACAGCTTTTCTACACCCACTTTTTGGACAAACAGACCCAACAGATAAATAAAAGAGTTGATTGCTCTCTTATGACAACTCATCCTAGGCCAAAGCTATCAGCTTGGAACAACAAAGTCAGTCCTTGTTCTTTGGCATTCACTATGCAGGTCCCATCTTGGTCCTGACCATTCCACATACTCCTTCTGTGCAGGAACAGCAGTATATGAAAAGCCATCGCTTTTGGTCACAAGATTTTTCCATCATGGGATTGAATCTTCTAGCTACTGCTCAGCAGAGGAGACGCAAGGCAGAGTTGGGAGCCTCTCCTTGCAGGCTGTCACCTCCCCTGAGAGCTGGTCCCAGCATAGGCACAAAAACATGCTGCCAGCATCTGCATAAGGGCTTCACCGCTGGTGATTTCAGGGGCTGGCGTGGGACACAACTGCTGTTGTTCTGATGCCCAGGGACCAGCTGATGATCACAATGTATGGCAGGAGGCCAACAGCAAACAGCTTCCCAGGGCCTTGACTCTGGAGAAAACTGGAGCTTGGCAAGTACACATGCCACTACCTGTCACGCAGGATGGCAATACAGGTACTGGGGCAGCTTTGAGAGAGAAGATTATTCAAAAACAAACCTGTACTTATCCTGTACTTTCTGCTTTATGTCTTGCAGCGAATCTTGGGATATATCTCGCTCAAGGTACCCAGAAAGCACCTCTGTAGCATTCTCTAAGTCTGCTTGGTTATTCTGCAAAGACAAAAAAAAAAAAAAAAGGAGGAGTTATTTCTGGGGGGAAAGGAAAAGAGATTTTTTTTCTTCAATCCAACTGAAATCAGTACTGAAATAAAAGGCAGGATTAGATATGCACTGTGTAGCATTCTAGTAACCTGCTCTGAGCATCAAGATTAAAAAGGCTGAGATTTCTTCATTTGATCAGAAGAGCATCTGCGTATCTACTAGCAAGTCTTATGTCTTCCTCAGTCTGCAATATCCTGGCAAGCCTAAAAAAAGTCCTTTTGTTACTAGTGGTACAGTGTGGTACAACACAACTCATCTCCCATTCTGTCCCTTGTCTATTTGTTACTTTTTACCAGCATTGGCAAAGCTTTACTGACTCCGTGTACACACACAGCAGCATCAGAGCACAGCTTTCACTACTGCTCAGTAGTTCTGTGCGCCCTTTGCTGAGCATGTAGCACAGAAGCATCCTGCTTAGGTTCTGCACAAAGACCAGCAAAGAACCGTTCTAAATCAGAAACAGTTAATACAGTTTTGTTTGTGAAGCAGGTGGACCTCCACAATTAGACCTTCAAGTGCAATTTTAGTGGTAATGCTCTTGGAAAAAAGCAAACACCAGGGTAAGTGAAAATGCCAGATTTAAGCTTTAATGCCTTCTTTACCAGTTCAAGACAGAACCTCGCTCCCTTTCTTGTTTCAGAGGGCAGCATCTTGTAACTCTACTTCCTCCTCCAGCAGACAGTGCTACACAATGTCCAGCAGGGCCTCTAACTTTTGCACAACAGAATATTACAACAGCCTCACTTCGGTAAAACAGGGGACAAGAGCTTCTCCAAGCATTAAATCTCTATTTCACTTAGCTTTGTAATCTGAACTCCTGACAATCATGTTTTCTCCTACCTCAAAGATAATGGACTGATTATTCTTTTTGAGGTAGAAGGCAAAGACGTAAGTGTACATGAGTGTGGCACGACACTGGCAGAGGACGTCGACTGCTTTCTTCAGGAACTGCACCTCAATCCATGACATGTTGTGCTGCTGCATCTCCTCCATTTTCTGCTTCACCTGAGCATAGAGCTTGTGCTCAAAGCGCAGGCTCTGCATGTGGTTCATATAGCGGTTGCAGTAGAACAGGTACCTCTGCAGGGCTGCTCTGGATCGCTGTGTTAATTCCCATTAGGGAAAAAGAAAACAAATAGTTAAAACAAAGTAATGGCTGCAAGAGAAGTAAACCCTTCACAAGGCTCTTCCTGACCCTGAGAACAACCTTCCTTTCCCAAGGTATTTCTTCTCCTCTCATGTTGCCCAGACTGAGATGGCGCTGCTTTGTGCGGCACTGTTAACCCTGACATTGCGCGGAGATGAGAGGCCAGATCCAGGGCAGCCCACTGTCATGCGGAGGACTTCCTAGCACAGCTGTAACATCCTCACTCCCAACCTTGAAAGTAATTAGAATCACACTGCTAAAGCCTGATCAGTTTTGAGTATCAGCCTCTCAATTTAAGTTACAGGACCTAAATGCTTCCAGTGTCATGACAAACAGCGAGAAGCAAGTTTTCTGGTATTTTTTTGCTAATAAGGAATTCTAATTAAACAATTACTGTGCCTGTGTTAAAATGGCAACCTTAGGTTGCCTAGGCCACACGGATTACAGAGCAAGGGAAAGACTCCATGTGCTAAATAGTACAAAAGAATCAAGATGACTCAATACACAGCTATTAGTCTTATTTTCTTCTCACTGACAGATCAGCTGTAAAAAAATGACAACACGGGCATGGTTAAACTTATACGTTGTGGATTTACAAAGGTAGCATATATCAGCCAAAGTCATCCCTATCTGCAAGAGGAGAGGCTGCAGGAAATACTCTGGTTCTTGGCTATAACAGTACTTTGACAGAGATGCAGGAAATGGATTTCTGCAAGCTGCAGCACATGGCACATAATCCCTTCCCATTAAAAAGGGTTTTGGCTCTATGTTCACAAAACAGTTTAATGTAGCTGCAGCTTCACCCACAATTTCTTCTATGTCAAGCCTCCAGGTATAGTTATTGGAAAAACAGCAGTCTATTTTATTTACATTCAAAAGATCCGATGTGTTTAAACACCTCACGATTCACATTAAGAACTTTGCGGTAATGAGCATTTTACGAAGGATGTGAGGATTGTTGTCTCAGACCCACGGCATTATGATGACTTCATGTCAAGAGCTGCTATAGAACAGGCAAGGCAGCATGACAGATAACTGAATTAACACCTTCTTTAAATTGGGTTAAAGTGGCTTTGAACTCTTTTTTTTCTGGCACGAAGCAAGAGTCCAAAGCTGCAGGGGAACTTAACTGTCTTTCGGATTTGTGCCCAAATCCAGAAAATTCTTCAGAGCCAATTTATAGGTTTACAGAAAGCACACCACAGGGTTGGTGATCTCCCTCACCACCAAAGGTTATGGACTCACCTCCTGTGCATCCCTTGCTGCCTTTGCATCATCCTCATTGTAGCGATTACAGTTGTACCTGTAATATGGACACCGATTCCACAGATTTTAGTCCAAATCAATGCTGTTTGTATCACTGCTTCCTCGCCTTCCAGCAAGGCACGCTCCTGAACTCACCAGGCAGATCCATGGGGCTCCCAGGGGCCCAGACACACCCAACAGAACTCCGCTTTGCAGTTCTGGTTCCGACAGACCATGTGGTTGCAGCCCCCGTCCTTCTCAATGGTGACGTGGCATTTCGGGCATTCCTGATAACAGAACAGAGAGTACTATTAGCAGGGAAAGCACAGAACCCACAACAGTCTTGTGAAGTTAGAAGGGTTCCCATGGCAGTAAGACATAGCACGTCAAGTGAAATGCATGATTTACTTCTTCCTTTTGATCTCCAAGATCCTCTTCTGAGTCAGGCCTTAAAACATTTTCAAAATCGGAGCAGCTAGATAGCAAAAAAACCCCGAAGGAATAACGCATTCTGTCTATGCTGCTACCATAGTGGTACACTGTATGGGTAAATTTCATCATCATCTCCAAAATCACAGCAGTAGTGATGGTCTGTAACAGCCCAGGGGAAGGCATCTGGCTTTCCTCACTAGTAAGTGTTTGGTCCACTTCAGCATTCAAAGCAAAAAAAGCCTAACGGTGAGCTGCTATCATGCTGTTATCAATCCAAGACACCTGCAGTTGTAAAATGCCATCCAAAAAGTATATGAAAACGTGCAGCAAGAATCTACTGTGCTTCAAAGACGTTTCTGTCAGCTAAAAAAATACCTCCTGGGGCATTTCCACATTTCCCACTGGGTCCCCTTTTTCCCCTTCATGTGACACCTCACTGAAGACTTTTCTACAAAAGCCCATATGAGGCTCCCCTTTCAGGTGTGAGGCCTTTGACAAATATAAGAATATCAAAGAGCAGCACTGCACAGGGAAGCCTTTGGGGAATATGTGGTTCTTTGGTTTGCATGGGGGCTTTTTTGGTTTTGTTTTGTTTTTAATAACACCAGTATCATTCTCATACATCAGCAGCATATGGCCACTTCCTAAAATGATATTCAACTCGTGTAGAGCAATGAATATGCAAAGCCAAGGTTGCAAGGGCTAAGCTGCCTCTACAAGCGAAGGAACCCCGTCCAATCTCTTCTGCTGCTTGTTCCTGTCCCTGTGGCACTTCTCTTGTGCCAGGACACAATCACAATGCAACTGCACAAGAGCTGGGCCAAGGAACACATCAGGTTAAAATCCAGCAGCACGTACAGAGGGGGGAAAAAAAAAAAACACCACAAAATAAAATCAAAACCATTTTAGCCTGGATCAGTTCTTTAGTCCAGCTCATCACACAACCACACTAGCATTTATAAAGTTTTTGCAGAAGCCAATTTTACCTACAAGGCACTTACAAACATATCCAAACATATCGGCATCAGGTATACGGTTGGACTTGATGATCTTTGAGGTCTCTTCCAACCATAATGATTCTATGATTCTAAACAAGTGATCCACACTCATGTAAAATCAGCTGCAGCTTTTGGGTCAGAAGCATATAAAATCCCTTCCCCAGTCAGGCGCACATCTTTACTGTTTGTTAACCAGAGCAATCATTTCCTATTCCGACATTCAGGTAAACTTGCAATAAAGGAAGAAACCAACACTTTCAATACATCTATAACTGCTACTCTTACATAGTACACAATCCGACACATTCTTGCACATCCACTCCAAGTGTCCCAACTATTACTACATTTTCATACAAGTTTGCCTATTTGGATTGTAAGAGACAGGAGAATTTGCACACCAAAAAGTACTCAGAAGATAGCTCAGGAGGTGCAAAAGGTCTCCAGATGCCAGACGTGGCCGTTCCCACTGCAGGGAGAGGTTTGCAGTAAGGCAAAGCAGGTTACAAGAGACAAGGAGGGGAAGACAAGAGGGAATGCAACTTCTTTTTGGCCAACGTAATTAAAGTGCTTTCAGCCAGTTTTGCTTCCTGATTGCAACTTTGCAGACCTGAACACTAATGAAAAGTAAGGCTCATTACAGCAGCTTGCCCTAATTTTGAGGTTATCCTTGCTTCGAGCTGAGCGGCTGAGCAAGATGACATTTCCTTCCAACCTAAATCACTTCATGATTCCGGTCTCCCCAGCAATGGCAGAGCACACCACTTGAGTACTGCCATCATTTCTTCCTCCTCAAAGTCCCGCCTGGGTCTTACTGCCTGATCCTGAAGGGGAAGGGTTAAGGACTGGACAGAAACGAGGAACATCCCATGCAACCAGCAAGGTTTTCCTAAGCCATTCCTTTGAAAGGAGATGCTATTACAGCACTTGTTTGGACAGTGCTGCCCTCCTCTTCAGTCAAGAAGGGCAGCATCGCCATCCCATCAACAGGTCACAACCAGGGCTTGGCTTGAGTAATAGGACAAAGCTCGATTTCTAACCAGAAGACCAGGTTTGTCTTGTAAATAAAAAGATCCCCCAGATTTGGGGAACTACTCAAGTAGTTTGATTAATGTTTCTTTCTGCAGTCGCACCTCTCCTCCCATCCTCATGCTGTGTCAGTCACTGCATGCTAGCTGGCTGCTTATTTGTTTTGGCGCAGTATTTTTGGGTGCTGGTTGCAACTCCAGTGGGTTCAAGCAACAAGCAAGCACATAAGGAGATTTTTCCAGACCTGCTTTCCTCCCTATCACCTGTGTTTGTCCTACTGAGTAACTGTACTACAGACAAAATGAAGCACAGTAGCTCCCTTGCTGGTCCTCTCGGGGGGACAGCATCAAGAAGTCCTCTTGGGCTGTCCATAGGCTGGGTACTCAGTCAGGTAAGCTTCTTCCCAATTAGTCAGTCAATGCAGTTTGGTGAACTTCAGAATAAAAAATGGTGTCTCCTTTGACCACAGTATGCAGTGCAGTATCTATTTTCCTTTTCCTGGCAGCCCTTCTTCCTCTTCCAATCCTGCACCAACAGGTCAGGACCCAAATTTAGGTTTATCCCATCAATATCCTTCACAACTGTGAAGATCCCTGCTCAATTTGCTCATCAACCAGGGTGCACTTTGCTAATATGTACGAACAGTGGCACTGCACCCCTGTCGCATTACAACACAGCTCCCCTGTCACTCAAACGCTGACCCTGGGGCACACGGCGATGAATGGTTTTTCAAGAGATGGTGGTTGCAGAGTTGTGCAGTTTCTTCCAAATACATCTCATGTGATGAGATGCCAGCATCTGCATGCCACTGCAGAAGATGCAGCTAATCCAACAAACAGCTGCAGCCATCACTCCTACTTGGGAAAATCCCACAACTGGAAGACGACAGAAACAGTTGCCAGACAATCTGCCAAGCTGGAGAGGCGCAATGGGGCACATCCACACCGCGAGGATGTGAGGCCATCCTCATCCACATCGAGACTCAATTAGGAGCACTGAAATTCTGCTCTCCTGTCTCTGAGGATGAGGCCAAGGTCTTCAGTGTCTCAATATTGCAAGGTGCTTAGGGCTTCTAGCCCTGTGATGTAAACTACAACAAAAAAAGACTCTGATTACAGCCCTTTTATTACAGGGAATAACATCCTTTTGAAGCCTTTATATGTCTGTTAAGCAAAGCACATGGAAGACAGATTACACAGTTAGCTATACAGATCCATGAAGTTGTGTAAAAGTGTAGAAGTTCAATATTATTAAAAATTAAGGAAAAAGCCATGAGAAGAACATAATAAAGAAATGCTGAAAGAAAAAGGCAGCAACTACTCAAGCCACCAACGCAACGAGTGGGAGAGATTTATAGATTAAGGAGGATAGGGAAGGAAGATCTTACTGAGAATTACGGCTACGCAACAACATAATAGCCAGCAAATCAAATTACTAAACCGGTAGATTATTCTCCACGTTATCTGTCATGCCATGATGCAGGAGTGACCTCATTAACATTGTTCCACTCTAAGCAATTCGGTGTTGTGCTTACACGCCGCACTTTGAAACAAAAGCCCAGGCAAAGCTGGCAAAGGAGAACAATCCCTATTTTGTCGTAAAAGGCTGCGTGTACATAAAACATCATAAATCTCAGCTGCTGTTTTATGAACAGGAGGCTAAATAGAAACTTATTTCACATTTCAGGGCAGGTGAAACAGATCGGTTCTCTCTGGAACTCCCAGAAGCAACTGGTGTACATCAGCCTCCCAGCCACATTCACAGCGACGCCTTCACCTATAACCCATTGTATAAAAAAAAAAAAAATCCTCAAACACCATGAGGATTTCTTAATGTATTTCAACAAAATCCAAAAATGCTGAACTTAATTATGGTTAGCACAAAATAATACACCATGACACAACCTAGAGTCATTGAGCAAAGCAGGGTACTTTAAACACTTGCTCATCCGAGAGGAAAAGATGGCACTTTGACATCTTAGGAAAGACGCTGTTCACAGCTCTGGCACAAAACTGCGCTGGTGAGAAATGAAAGAGCAAAGTTCAATGCTGGTGCCCAGTGAGGATCTAGCAGGGCTGCCAGAATTTTCACACGTTAGAACAAATGTAGGACTTCCAGAAAGTACAGAGAGAGCGCATGTTCAGACATTAAAAAGTGACCTGAAAAGGAACAGAACTGGGTTTGTGCCATTTTATCTCGCTTAGAGGAGAAAAATGGCAAATAGCTTTTCTGGAGGAAGAAAATCTGCCTGTCTTACACATCAGGCATTCAAGCCCTGTCTAGCCCGGAAGATAATGAGATGGTGACACGCCAGGAGCCAAAAGCGGTAAAGCAGGGGCATTTTTAGTATCAGATGAACAACTTTCATTAACACCAATTTAACTTCAAAAAAGCAACAAAAAAACCAAACAGAGCCTTGGGTGAACACCAGCACCGTTAGCATCTTTTTTGTTCTTCCTTTAGTATTCTAAGATGCAGAAAGATTAACATCATTGAAACTCACATTTGAAACAGGTTTCCCCTCCTCCTTTTAGACTCCTTTCAGACAGTCTTGATACACCTTAAGAGCCCAAAATAAATGCACAAATCCAAGATTTCTATATTTCTTACTCCTTTTAATATCCACTTAAGTAATAGATCTATGTGGTTTCTTTATTCCCAAAGCGACACGAACCAAACACCTGAAACCTGCCTAGTTTAATTCAAGAAAGGAACTATTTAAGAACCAAGTTTGTACAACAAACAAAAAAAGAAATGTGCAAAACCTTAGACTCTTCAACCCTTCTTTGCAAGAAGACTGAGAATTAGAGGCTTGATAAAGAACTTGTATTGGCTTATCTCAAATTTAAATTAATTTAGTTAAGCTGAACTCGTATGTGAAAGTAGCTTATTTTAAGTAAATGGCCATCTACTCCAGCAGACTCTGCTGCAAGGGCTGTATCTTTTGTAGAAGTACAAAGAATTTAGTGCAGGTCTCCTAAGTGCAAATAAATGAATGTAAAATAAAAAAATATAGGAAACCACAAAACTCGCTACTCAAATCATTTTTCATTCAGACCATTCTACATAATTCATCAAAACATGCATCACATCATTCCAATTTCTGAACAGAAACCAATTCACCTGAGTTTCACTTTTCTGTTCTCTCACACAACAATTGCCTAATTTTCCTTTCCTATTCTGTCTCCCAGGGCAAGCTGGAACAAATGTATCTCACATTCTCCTGTTGCAAAGGATTACCCAGATTTCAAGCCCACATTCCAAGAGAACTGGTAATTTTCTCTTATACCTTCATCTTGGTAAGACAGGAAGTTTTCCTCCCTGAACGGAGACCACATGGGATAGGACTGCAGCTCTGCATCACGCTTGGAGGACTCAAGAAAGCACTTTGCAAACGCTAGAAATAGCAATGGAGAGCACAGTAGCAATTGAATTACCTTGAGAGTTTTTCCCACTGAAAACAAGGATTTTTGCATCTGATGGTACCCGATCCAATTCCCTTCTAGGTTCTTCAAAATGAAGAAATGCAACACAGAATTTGGGCTCTGACTTGCAGTCAGCAAACAGCTGTGAAGGCACCAGATATCCCTCCCCAAACACGACTGCCCTGTTTTCCTGCTACAAATAGTACAGAGACAGAGTAAGGACAGATGTATGCGCACTCCAACTGTGCGATTCCTCTCCCAGTATATCGCTACAACCTCACACTACAGCAGGAAAGGATTTTACTTGGTTCCTCCCTGAAGAGCAGCAGAACTGTGTCGCTGTCAGACAGGCACATGGGTTTCTCTGTGCCTTTGGCCAAGGGCCAGCAGGCAATTCAGGCAAGGGGAGGTGGTGGCTGGCAGCCCCGCGGCTCTAGGATGATCCAGTTTTCCGGAGGCTGTGAAGCTCCGATTGCACATGTTCCAGCAGCCAGCACTGCTTGGGCTTCATCATTATAGCAGTGTGAAATTACCACCTTCCACATCTTCCTGCCCACAAGGCAGCAGAGATCATTACAAGTGGTGGGTTACATTTCCTGCCAACTTTCCCCTCAATTGAAACTAGTGTCAGTTCGGAGAGAGAAGAATTGCAATATTGTCCTTCAGTTAATTCAATTGATATGGATACCATAAGACTCCAGGACAGTTGGCTTGCTCAAGTGTCTGGTGTAATTACTTTGATGTTATTTTTCTTCCTGTTGCTTCTGTACAGCCTGGACTCCAAAGTACTTTCTTGCTGTAGGAGTGTCTCGTATGGTATTAGAGGAAGTAGCTTAGACAGTGATGTTCAAGGACAACAGCTCTTCTGCTGCTGACACCAGACTACAGGAACTAACAGATAAGCTGGGCTAATGCCAGCACGGCTTGGTCACACTCATTTCCCCTCTTCACCATCCTCTGGATGGGTGTTTCCCACCAAAAAAAAAAAATCTTCTTACTCCAGCCATTCAATACTATTTCTGACAGTCTAAGCTATGCTTTAAATACCAGCCCAACCACTGGCATGACTCCTACTTGACGAAGTCTAGATCCTACTAAAAAGAAAAAAAAGATGACCATCTTTACAATATTTCTATTTATGCTTAAGTCTTGGACAAGCAAGCCGCAGAAACTGTCATCTTCCTATCTGAGAAAAGAGATAAGTAGCTTCCTATTTCCAGCAGCCAGCATTAGTGGCATATTATTCATGTGTAGTCTACATAACACACAAGTGTCTATCATCTCAGCCTTTTTAATGGGCACAGAATCCAGTAAAGGAAAGATTAACATTTGATCCTAACAAAACTCAGCAAGAAGAGCTCAGATCCTGGTCTTTAGCAGCACTTGCCAAGGTAGGGGCAGGTAGGAGATGGGGAACCCTAAGGCCATGACCAAGATCACACTCCTGAGGGGCAGCAGCAGGTCCTGGTCTGGCTCCCGAGGGCTTTGTCACCGGCAAAATAGGGCTGTGCCCATTCTGACGTCCCAAATACTTGATAACAAAGGCTAAAAGCTGCTTTGCATGTGCTTACACTCAGCCCTTTCCAAGCTATTCAGCTATTCTTCCTCAGGTTTAATACGAGCAATACCTGAAGACCAAGCAAACTTGAAACAAATCTGGTTGAGTTCTCAAGCCACAATATATCTTTGAACACACTCACCTCAGAAAAAGCCAAGTTCACTTTATTGAGCAACATTCAGACTCCAAACAGAGACCACACAAGTCTCAGCCCACAAAACAGAAAGAAGCAGCTGAGACCGCACAATTTCAGCCTGATTTTAACTGTGCATTTCAGCATGATGGGTGTTTCTGCTTTCACCATAATGCAACATTCCAGTTCAATGAAAAACACGCAGCCAGCCCCAGAAAGAAGCAGCCGCTGCTGCAAACAATACCATTAACCAGTTACACAACAGAGCTAAGAAAACAAAGCAGCCATTTCCTCACACCCTCCCCACCTTCTTCCACCCTCCTGGCTCAGCAGTCATGAGACCCAGGTCTGCTCCTAACCCCCCCCACCCTGATGGCATCTGCTGCTTTTGTTTTCTTGCCACCATGCCAACCTTTGTTGTAATTTGTCCCAAACTGAATAACTGCTGAAGTTTCAGGCAAAGTTGGGCTAGCTAGAAGGAAGACATTTACATAATAAAATCTTAACAGCTGTTCTGCCAGTCTCTATCTGGAATCTTGCCCAGCGGAAATGAACAACTCCTCAAGAGGCCAACCCAGGGGGTTTAAAGGCAGATGTAAATTATCACAGCCAAATTGAGCCACGGGTGGTGTTAACATGTTTCACACACTTGGAGCGAGGCACAGATTTGCTTAGGGAAGCCATCAGTGCCAGACAGCAGCCCAAAGACTTAAAACTTGAGCTTCCCTTGGGTCTTCAATTAACTCTTTCTTACAAGAACAAACTCCACTTAACCCGAAGAACCTCACCTGATTCGAAGCAGTAACACATATTTGCTCTTCAAACAAGAGTACTTCAGTGTACTGTGGATTTTAAGGCTTGCTCTTAACTAATGACATGCAACAGAAAAAATAATCCTAGTACAGATGAATTAGGCTGTCCTTTTCATCTGGTAACTCTCTATAAAATATGAGAAAAACCCTCACCTTTGTGTTTGCTGCAATCCAATTAGAAGTTTCACTGTCATCATCACACTTCTTAATCCATTTCTTTAACCACTGTTAGGAAAAAAAAAAATGAAGAAGAGAGTTACATTTAAATAGAGGAACTCTAAATGTTCCCAAGACAGCTGCTTATATTAAGGTAAGGTACACACAACCACAGGGGAATACGGGGGGCTGTTGGTGCTGGAAACCAGTGCAAACAGCAACTAATTTAGTTGCAGACATTTCCTGCAGCACCGTCCTGATCCGGTGAGCACAATCTCTCAGCATAAACACTTCAGCAATGAGTTTGCAGTTCTCAAGTTCAATCAACACAAACTTCACATGAGACTCTAAAATAAGGACATTGTAACAATGATCTGCCAAAACTGCAGTCCGACCCTCTGTGATGCCTAGCTTTACATCAAGCCAAGTTTGTCCTTAGGCTTGCAATGCTCACATTACACTTTTTTTTTAAAAAAAACCCACCTCACTGAGAACATGGCTTTATCAAATTAATTCAAGTAACAAAACCAAAAGACTGCTTGCACCTGTTGGATAATAAACTGACTACATCAAGCCTGGAAAGACCAGCCAAACCATGCTAAACCTTTGGTGAGGTTTCCTCTCCTCTCTCTCCAAGGAAGTTTGGGGATTTTTTTTGCATTTGTCACTAGGAATATAGACTGCTCTGTCCCCAGGGCATGAAACATGGCTGCATGTGGGCTCTGCATGGGGCACAGGATCCCAGGCTCGATTATAGTTTAACAGTTCCACAGTTCATTGCATGGCAGCAGGTGCCAGGACCAAATTAATTCCTTCAGTACAACAAATCACAAGCTTGCTGAAGCACCGAACACCTACAGAAACAGGTAGTACAGGAATGCTTGTTGTCAAGTGAAGCATTCACTCCTGAAGCACCTTCATTGCTCTTCAGAGGGTCACATCTGTAACAGCTGCCTCCTCCAGACACTTCCCCATCTGGCTGAGGCACGATTCCTTCATAAGGTCCAACTTTCAGGCATCCAGTATGATTTCACTGATTCTTCTCACGCTACAATCTAAACAGGTGAACTACTATGCTTCTTGACATGAACAGCCACAAAGCTTGTCCTTCATTTCTGTATCTTGCAACTAAATTGACTTTAAACTTTTTCAAGTCGTGCATTCAGAAAAGAACTTTGGTGTGCTCACCTTGCATTTAACAGGATCATGCCAGTTTTCACCGCAGTTAAAGCTGTAAGTGAAAGAAAGGGGAAAATAAGCAAATAGGGCAGATGATTATACTTTTATTTAACTAGGTTAACACCATGGAAGTTTTCTTCTGGGTTGTTCTGCTGAAAGACCTAATGAAACATTATACATGTCAAAAAAACCCCAACCCTCAAAACCCTCAACAGTCATTTCAGAGCAGTATATATCTTGATACATTTTGATTCTCTACAGTGCCTGCAGTCAAGAACCTCACCTGCAGGCCGTCTCTCAGGGAAAGCTGGATCTGTCTCCATGTCAAAGCAGGCCCAGGACACAGAAAGAAACAACTACAGCTCAATGTGACCCGGCAATGTGCGCTTGCAGCCCCAAAAGCCAACCGTATCCTGGGCTGCATCAAAAGTGGTGTGGCCAGCAGGTCGCGGGAGGGGATTCTCCCCCTCTACCCCGCTGTGGTGAGACCCCCCCCTGCAGTACTGCCTTCAGCTCTGGGGCCCCCAACACAAGAGGGACATGGATCTGTTGGAGCGAGTCCAAAGGAGGCCAGCAAGATGACCAGAGGGCTGGAGCACCTCTCCTATGAAGACAGGCTGAGAGAATTGGGGTTGTTCACCCTAGGGAAGAAAAAGCTCTGGGGAGACCTTAGAGCAGCCTTCCAGCACCTAAAGAGGCCTGCAAGAAAGCTGAAAAGGGACTTTTCAGAATCACAGAATCATCACGGTTGGAAGGGACCTCTGGAGATCATCTAGTCCAAGCCTCCTGCCAAAGCAGGTTCAACTACAACAAGTTGCACAGCAACACATCCAGGCAGGTCTTGGAGTATCTCCAGAGAAGGAGACTCCACAACCTCTCTGGGCAGCCTGTTCAGTGCTGTGCCACCCTGAAAGTATGGAAGTTCTTCCTCATATTAAGGTGAAACTTCCTGTGTTTCAGTCTGTGCCTGTTGCCCCTTCACCTGTCACTGGGCACCACTGAAAAGAGTCTGGCCCCATCCTCATGACTTCTACCCTTAAGGTGTTTATAAGCATTGATGAGATGCCCTCTCAGTCTTCTCATCTCCAGGCTAAACAGACCCAATTCTCTCAGTCTTTCCTCAAAAGAGAGATGGTCCAGTCCCCTCATCATCTTTGTTGCCCTCTTCCGGGCTCTCTCCAGTAGTTCCTTCTCCTTCTGGAACTGGGAAGCCCAGAACTGGATACAGCACTCCAGATGTGGCCTGAACAGAGCAGAGTAGAGGGGAAGAATAACTTCTCTCACCCTGTTGCCCACACTCATCCTCATGCACCCCAAGATACCATTGGCCTTCTTGGCCATAAGGGCACATTGCTGGCTCATGGCCTTGTTGTCCACCAGGACTCCCAGGTCCTTCTCCACCAAGCTGCATTCCAGCAGGTCAACCCCCAGTCTGTACTGGTGCACGGAGTTACTCCTCCATAGGTGCAGGACCCTACACTTGCCTTTGTTGAACTTCATTAGGTTCCTCTCCAGCCAACTCTCTACCTTGTCCAGGTCTTGCTGAATGGCAGAGCAGCCTTCTGGCACATCAGCCACTCCTCCCAGTTTTGTATCATCAGCAAACTTGCTGAGGGTACACTCTGTCCCTTCCTCCAGGTCGTTGATGAACAGGTTGAATGAGACTGGACCCAGAACTAACCCCTGGGGAACACCACTAGCTACAGGCCTCCAACCAGACTCTGCACTGCTGATCACAACCCTCTGAGCTCTGCCACTCAGCCAGTTCTCAATCCACCTCACTGTCCACTCATCTAGCCCACACTTTACAAGGGCCTCTAGTGACAGGACAAGGGGCAATGGCTTTAAACTGAAAGAGGGAAGGTTTAGATTAGATATTAGGAAGAAATTCTTCACCATGAGAGTAGTGAGGCACTGGAACAGGTTGCTCAGAGAAATTGTGGATGCCCCATCCCTGGAAGTGTTCAAGGCCAGGCTGGATGGGGCTTTGGGCAACTTGTCTAGTGAAAGGTGTCCCACACCATGGCAGGGGGGTTGGAATGAGATGATCTTTTAAGGTCCCTTCCAACCAAACCATTCTATGATTCTATACATAGTGATGGGCTTTGCAACCAGCTGTACCTAATCCTGGTTTATCATTTGAAGCCGACCCCATGCTTCTCCCACCAACTAAACCACATCCAAATATAAAGACTTACAGAATACATACTAATATACTTTCAAGGTATTAAGTAAAAAGCACTATTAACATCTTTTATGTGATTGCTCTTACCAAAACTGACGTCCACATTTGCAGCGAACGGGTTTAGCATCAGGATATTGGACTTTAACAACATGGTGGCAATCTGGGGCAGGACACCACTTTAACAGTCGATTACACTACGAAATAAAGCAAAAAAAAAATAATAGAAAAAGGATGCTGCACGCATCTACCTGTCCTTCATCCCTTTTTCATCTTTTCAACCACGACCTTCAGTCACACTCCTTCCTGTCTTACCAGTCCTCTACAATAAGAGTGCTGTCTCCTCAAAGTATTTACTTTCTTTCTACTGAAAGAAAGCAGGAATATGATAGTCAACTCTTCACCATCAAATGGCCTCTTATGAAAGATGAGGAGCATAAACACTTCTGCTGACCTCGCAGCTCACCCAGAGAAAAGAACAATCTGAAGCTATAAGGCTTTCCACTGAGAAAAGTATCTGTCAAGTTGTTTGCAACTGCCATCTCTGTTCCACCGCTGCAACAGCCTCTCTGAAACTGCTCACAAACCATGCACACTAGCTTTTTACAAGCACTGCTTTCTAATACCCCTTGAACACCATCTCATCGCCTGTTCCTGCTGTACCAAAGCCAGATACAGGTCTGCACTGCTAGACTTCTGTCACTCTTTCAGTCTGCAACCTACGCTTAGCTCCAATGTTGCATTTAATAAAAAAACCCAACAACAGAAAAGAAAACAAAAGAAAAACCAACAACAACAACAACACACCAAACCAAACCAAAAACCACCACAACAAACAAAACCCACTGTATTCATCACTTCAAACAAGGAGTGAAAGCTTGATCCCAGTAACAATTTACATACTGGGCTCTACAGTAAATCTGAATGCATACAACTGGGAAAATGGGTCAACGGAAAAATATTCCGAAGCACCTTTCTCCAAGTTTATTTTGATTTTGAGGTTGCAAAGCTATTAGTATTTTGCTAAAAGCAATTTTGCAGCTTTACTTCAAATGGCAAATGTTTAATGCATGTTCTTGTTTACAACATTTCCTGTTTTCAATCTGAAGTATCTCAGGTAACATTCAAGAACTATAAATATTATGTGTTCCTCAGAACCTATATATTGAACAGCTCTTAGCATTCTCTTTATGTACAGCTGCTTGCTATATCTCTAGGTCTTCTGTCCTGCAGATTTTTTTTAATATTTTCCTATAACTATATCTGTAAATAAAAGGGCTATAAAATAACCCCTGCAAAGCCTCTAGTTTGTAGTCACACTTTATCAGAGACTACACAAAAAACCCAGCTCTACAGTTGTAAGCCAGTCTCACGTCTCTGGTTTGGTACCTATGTGAGGAAAAAAAAACTAGAACCCATTAAAAATTTCAGATAAAAAAACTTACCTCTACAAAACTATTGGTTATTAAATGCTGGTACTTTAATTTAACCTTGGAATCTGTGATCAGACGCCTGTGGAAAGGGTAGAAACACAGAAAAATTATTGCAGTAGAAAACTCATTTTTTCCCCATACATAGCCAGTAAGTTATGACAGTAAATGGTTTTGATTTCTCTTTCTACACTTGCAGGTACCTTTTTGAACTTACCTGTTCTCTATTTGTTAGATCATTTATTATATTATTATGAAAACTACAAATATTCTATTTAACGTCTAATATTAGGTTCAGAATCACATAGAAAGCTCATGCAGTTCAGAAGAACTGAACTTCCTGGTGTGGGGATTTTTATTTAAAAACACCTTCCTGAAGAGCCCAAGAAACAGAGCAAACAATTTTATTAGTTCATGTACATTAAATACGAACATTTTATGGCAAATCTCTTAAAAAAGCTCCAGAACAGCTGTTGTGCAGTTAGTAACTTTGGTAGACCTAATGTTATCTGGGTTTCAGTGGAATGCTACAGCTTCAGTTTAAAAGTTAATGTTAATCTATTTACCATAAAACCAAAGCTGATTTAAATTCAACATCATAGAGCGTGTACACAACATCAACTTCAACTTTAAATTAAGTCAGTCAGCTCAGAAGTGGGATAGTAGAAAAAAACAAGACAGACAGGAATCCTTTAAAAGCATGGTGACCACTTTTCTCCTGGACACACCAACCCAGCTGGCATTTGCAGACTGTCCAGCTTAAATACATTCAAAATAATTTAATTATGTATTGCTGAGCACTTTTTACTTCCTTCAGTTATGACTGAAGTGTCTTCGGCATATATATAAATATAAAGCTGGACCAATGGGCACTTTGCGGTATTTCTGTTCTAAATAATACTGTGGAACACAGCTTTATACAGGCCCTATCACATATAAATATTGAGATTAATAAATTATCCATTTCAGGGTGCAGCCAAAATGAAGTGTACTCCTGCATGTTATCATGCCAACATTCATTAAAGAACAGCGCACGTGACAATGTGATGTTGCATAAATCCTAGCCTTCAGCAGTCTGAGGAGCTCCTCACCAAACAACGTGCTGGTTATTACATAAACATAGCACATGGCAGCCAAATTCCCAGAGCTAAAATAAAGCAAAACAGCTGACAAAGCATCTCATCAGGTCCATGTCCATGGCAAGCCTGCAATTTTGGAGTGAAACTTACTGAAGAATGAAAAAACAATTTTAACTTATAATATGAATTATAAATTTTACTTTCTTACTCCATAGCTAGGCTTAACTTTAAAAAGTTATTTATTATCTGTATATATCAGGAACTGGAATTTAAGTGAAGAGTAATGCCGTAACTAATCCGAGTACACAACCTGCTAGTTTTGCTTACCAAACTGCCTACAATCACTCCACGTCAGCAACCTCACCTGCTCTAGGTTCAACAGCACTTCCACAGCACCACTCAGGTCAAGACCTTCAAGAACTTTGCTCTGAATATTACTGTCTTTCGACATACACAAATGAAACTAGACTAATTAAGAGATGAAAACCATTCCCAGTGCCCATAAACCCTACTTTGGGTACATTCCTCTCCGAGTCAAGCTATAAAAGAAGCAATCTCACCAAAAAAGCCAGATTGGAAAAGCAAACTGCTTGCAAAAAAAACCCCTTAACCCTTGATCTCTTCTGGCAGCTCAGTTCAGAATTACAGTTTCAAAAATTCACACAAAGATGGCAGCAATTCTTTATCGGACCATAAATTTTACACTTTTGTTCCGTTTCGATAATGCAAACTCCTCAAAGACACCGATCAGTGGAATTACCATAACGCACATCATGTGAGAGGTCAAACACCCTCCCATAGGAATTACTTCAAGACCTTACTACATTCTTACATGATGCAGCAGCAGTGATATTTGCAATTATGCAAAGGAAGCTTAAAAATGAGGCAACACTCCATATGACTTCCATACAGGAACCCAAAATTCATCCATTCCCACTCAGTGGGTTGATTTTCAGAGGTTACTACCAGACTGCTGCCACCTACGAGCAGCGGCTGTTAGACATGGCAGTAATAAAGGCAGCCTGCCTTGCTTATTAATGAAACCAACAACTTTGCATGTAGGTTAAAGCAATTACCAGCAGCATTAGCAAGGGTGAACAAGGGATAGAAACAGATTACCTTCAGCCAGTTGGAAGGTCTTGAAAGAACTGAAAGGGACCCTCTCTTCAACCTTCCTCCTTAAGCTCAACAGTAACAAGAAAAATGGACAGTAAGCTAGCTAAATACTCACAAATCCAGGAAAGTCGTCTGAATTGCTAAGTTTCGACTCGTACGGAGATAATTCAACTTGGAGATGTACTGCCTTGCTGAGGGCAAGTACAGAGGAGGGAGCAAATTAGTAATTGGCCTATCCACTTTGATTTTCTGATGGATAAAGAAACTGATGTCTCTATACATTGCACATTAATCTTAGGTTCCTATAGCTTGGAAACCTAGAGTTGGAGACTTTGTAGAAAGGAAAAGACCTAAGAAGAAAATTAAAGACATAGGAGGGGGTGCAGATTCCAGTTGGGATTACTTGCATTTTTATTCATGCCATTTCATAAGATTGAAAGCAAAGGTGGACAACTGTGACAAAGGAAAGCATCAGGCTTTTGCAAAAAAAATGCACCTCCCTTCCCTAGACACTCCACATGTTCCCCATAAAATCAGGGAAACGTGGATTTTTACCTACACAAAACGTTTATAGTTTTACTTAGACAAAGGGAACTTGTTCACTTTACCACTCAGATGCCATCTTACTATCACAGGCCCCAGAGATCTCTGCTATTTCTAGGCAAGGGGGAATCCCACAGTACATGGTGTGAGTCAAAGACTGCACAGATTCATCCGTGTCACACTTTTCTGCGCTATAAAAGCCATGAAGTGAAACATAAGGCTAGTCAGGCCTACTACTAATATCAAGCAATAACAGAAGCCATAGCAACAAAAGCCAGTGCTGCTCTCCTCTTCTTCCCTCCTTTCCTTCCTACTGCTACGACCACGGCCTCCAAAAATTTCAGCTAGTCTACTTTACATACACTATTTGAACAGTTTATTCAAACTGTTGCAATCAAGAAAACACTCGAAAAATTTTCTGCTGAGAGTATACAACACCACAAATTGAGTTCAAACTCCAGTAAACAAAAATCTCAATCAAGTCACTCAAGATATTATGCCAACTCCAGTTCAGTTTCCACCCACTGAACTCTACAAACCACCCCTCAACAGGGCATGAAAACATTTCAGCTACTTCCACTTCTCTCCAGCCTACACTTCATGACTAACGTAAGTCACTAATGCAGAGGGATATGGGAAATCACTAGTCTGAAAGCAACCGATATAAAAACCAGCAAATTAATATCGAGTGAGTCAGACTTCAGGAAGGAAGGAATAAGGTAACAGAATAAGCTTCTATTTAGACACTTTTTAGCGTGAAGAAATAAAAATGAACTTAATCAAGGTTCAGAATTATGAAGGATATTACTCATGCAATAACATCATCCAATATAAAAGAGAAGGAAGCACGTGGAATACACTGCTCCACCATGTACAAACAGTCATCCTACAGCTGGACAACTTAATAGGCAAAGTGACACAGGCTGACATACCAGTTTAATCAAATCTTATGTTTGAGGGTCAGCTGCTTTCTATCAGAGGGCATAAAACACACCCTACATCAGAGCATACACAGGACTTCTTTCCTCTTACTCACATATTAACTACAGCTATAGGACTTGGTGAACCAGTGGGTTGACCTAGGTAGGAAGTCCTAAATTCCTACGTAAATCAAAGGAAACAAAATGCACAAAGTAGTTAAACAGGGTTTGGAAAGACTGCCTGGTGTTTATGCTGCTGTCATGCTAACCAAATTGGTCAAGGAGTCTTTCCTCCAAGTACTGTGGCACGGGTTTTTCCGGAGTTAAACATGAAGTTAAAAGACATACTGGTATCAAAATAGACAGCTCAAGACTGACCTCTCCGCTGCCTTAAAGCCTCTATGCAGTTTTTTATAAGCCAGTACATTTGAATAGCACATGAGTAACAAAACAGAAAAAGAGGAAAGCCAAGAGGTAGCAGCTCATCATACTTACATAACTGTATTGTCATCGACTAAGATATCACAGCCATGAGCAGGGCATGAAATGGTCTGAAAAAAGCAAAAAGGTCATAAAAGGAACAGTGTTTATCCTATTTTTGCATCACAAAATTCCAAGGCAACAGACTTCACTACAATCCATACCAAAAATAGTACATGGGCTCTATCATCACGTCCCAGATGTGCCACTGTGCACAGCATGATTCCTCCCACCCAGAGCAAAGCTGCCTGCACTAACTCCACGTAGCTCCCTCCGGCTTCACCTGTGGCAAAGACTGCAGCCCCACAAAGCTTTGAGGCTTGGGCTTTCTTTGTTGTTGTTGTTTGGTTTGGGTTTTGGTTTTTGTTTGGTTTGGGTTGTTTTTGTTTGTTTGTGGGTTTTGTTTTGGGTTTTTTTTTTTGGGGGGGGTGGGGGGCGTGGGGGTTAAACTTCTGTGGGGAAGAATTCTCCCCTTTCTTTCCCCCTCCTCTCCAATACACAGAATTTCCAGAAATAAGTCATGAGGTAGACGGGTTGACATTTTACCTGTCCCATGCCTTCCTCCATTATTTTGGTAGTTAAATATTCACTCCAGCACTGCATACAGAACTTGTGTCCACACTCTAGGCCAGTAAAGTACTGCAATGACAAAGAACACAAGACATTGGATCATTTTATCACGTGGATTCACTCAATGATTTCGCCCATCCTGGCACTGCACAGTTTATCACACCTTTCATCGCCCATACCAAACTTGAGACACTGTTTATCTTGCATCAGCATCACTACAGAACATTGCCAATACAGCTTTAGTCATGCTTTCAAAACCAGACTTTAATCCCCTAGCAGCAAGGAAAGGTGTGGCTGACATTTCCGTCCTGCCTGCCTATTTAAATTGATCCTTGTTTTAGGAGTATATACAGAGCAGAGCATGGTGCTCTCCTGTTTTACTCTTGCAAATGAGTAAAATAAATGCAACACCACGAAAGAGGTCACAGTTTATAATATGATATGGGGTCTTCTTTCCTCCTGTTTTTTCCACTTGGCTTGCTATCACATGTGGATGCTGCCCAGAAGTCCCAGAATATGTGCGCCAGCTACGCACAGGGACTAATTTAGTTCCATCTTGCATAGGAAACAGTAAGTGATCAGCAAGCAGTCTGCCTAACTGGGTAAGCACTAAACAACAGAAATAGAAAGAATTGTGTGCACTTACACTTTTAATGCGTATGGATAAAGTTTGCCAACTTACTTGGTAAAATTCCCCCCGAAACCCAGATGCTCATCAGATGAAGACACTAAAGATCCTAATTGGCAGGCACAAATTACTAAATAAAATTCAATAATGATTAGCTGTTGCAGACAGCAACAACGACAACTTCATCTGTGTGTGCATCATCTACACTGAGTATGTCAAGATACCATCTGGGATTTAATGGTTACACAAGGGGTGGAGAAGAAAACACTGCTGAAGAAAGACTGAAATTAATTTACTTTTCTCGGGTCATCTTAAAGTTATTTTATACCCAGAGCCAGGGGCAAGAACAAACTATATTTAAAACACTTCACTCATACCAGTATGCAGATTACTATTTCACAGTCTAGCTTTTCAAACCATCTTATTCTCAGCCAATAAGATAAAACAAAGAGCTCCACCCTGAGATACCATCAATTTGTACAAAACTCCACAAATTAAAGAAATCTGAGCCTGAAACAGCAGTAGGATGCTGGTAGTTAAGAAAGGAGAGAGTCCATTTTAAGAAAACAATGTTCTTCCCAAACTGCTTCCTTCACCCTTACAGACTCAAGATTACAACCACCACATCGCCCGTTTCGTTCATCCGACACTGGTGTATGAGCTAGGTGACGCTTGTCTTTCAACACTACAGCACTCGGATTGCGCAGGGAAGGTTCTCGTTAGCACGCTGTTCCCACGGGCTCGCCATTTAGTGATTCGCACTGGCACCCCTGCTATCAGCGGAGCCACAGGTTTGAACCTGAGGCTTGGAATTGTGCTGTGATGCTGCAGGCAGCGGGCTCGGCTCTGCCTGCCGTTCCCACCGCCTGCCAGAAAGCACTTACTAGGAGCAGCAAGGTGGTTAAATCTGACCTGACCAGTCAGCAAGGAGCGAAGTGAGCTGAGCATCTGACTTTGTTCCAGATACAAATGGAGATACCCACCCAAACCTTCGCTTTCTTTGGAACAAAAAAAAACCAAAACAAAACAGAGTGGTGTGTCCTGTCAGCACCATGTCTCAAGGAGAGAGAGGAGGCTGACAGCTACAGGGTACACAGGTACACCAACTCCAAGACTGAGAAAAAAAAAACTTCCAATTTTTGAACCATTACTGAGTCAGCTAACAAGGTATCCGATGCTCCACAGATGCTGCTGTGGCCAAGCGACATCCCCTGGAGATGCATGGTTACGGTAGGAAAGCTCCAACATCTGTAACTTTTGGGATGCCAACAGTACGCAACCATCCTAAAGACAGCACTGACTTTTCCCAAAATTATGGCTTCTTCACATGTGATGGGAAGCAAGCACAGACAAGGGCATCATCTCGTAACGGACCTAAATACTCCTGCAGCAAACACACACAAGGAAGCACTACAGAACACAGGTAAGCACACATCTTCATTTAAGACTCGTTTTGGTTTTTTTCAGGCAGTGCAAAGATTTGCTAAATGCCTACATAAAAGGCAGCCACCACGCTTCCTCCCAGGCTGCAAAGAATTCAGAGTATCTTTCAACTCATTTCTTTACTTTGAGGGAGTTCCCAATTATTTTTGGCTAAGCTGACAGCAGACGTCAAGGGACCAAGCAAAAAGGCCAACATAAAACCATCAAGTGCAACTGGTAACAGTGACTTCTGAAACAGCACGTTATCACAGGGGACAGCTCTACTTTCACCCTATCTCTACTCATCATCTACTTGTGAAAGTAAGCGCTAGCAGCAGCATGCTGCCATTCAATACCTGTCCCTGCTCTTCTGGTAGCAGCAAACTGATCAAAGAAGGGATCAGCTGCTCCAAGATGTGTTTGCCGTGACAGCCTCACTCAGGCTTTCTTTACTTCAGTAATGATGATAGCACTAACAGACTAAGTCATCTGCTTGTCCTTAGAACAAACACGCAATTTGGACAACAGCACGGTGTTCCCCAAACACCCCCACCCCAGCAGCCTTGCTCTCAAATGGGACCTGAAGGGTGAGATACAAGAGAGGAGGTAGGCAAAGCCATGACCCTCTCAGTTCCTGTCTTCACCAGTAAGGGTTTCACCCAAAATAACAAGTGGGACTTGACACTGGTTCATGGGGACACAAAGGAACTAAAATACCTCCCTTAAGTTTTCAAACCATCAGGGTGCAGGCTGCCACGAGAGCATCAAATGCTTCGTTTTGCAGGTGCTTCCCAAAACCTCAGATCACAGTTCTTTAGAGATGACTGAACAGCTATAACAACTTCATATTTCCCTTATACGTACTTTAAAACATGGACAAATACCACCTGCAATGACCCCGTGATGGTGAATATTACATTTCTGTAATAGCTGTATGTTGTAAAACTTCTTAACAGGCACAATTCCAAACTCTCAGCTTTCCATGGGCTGAAAGGGGCTTTCAGAAAAAAATACAGCTTTTCAGGGTGGGGGTGGGTGGGGAAGAGAATAAAAAAAAAAGCTGACCATTGCAAGAGGATTTAAAAGCTGAGATTTTAGGTTAGGTATTGAACATAATTTATCCTAGAATTTATAACTTACATTGACCAAAACAGCTTCAAAATAAATTTCTAACCAGATGGCTTACTGTCATGTTAGACAGAGACACTACAGCCTTTTTACAGAAGAAATAGTAAGTATTAGTTTTCCTATATTCTCCAACTTCTATGTGTGGCAAAGAAACAGAGGTTCCCCTCTATTGCCTCTTGACTTAACACCAACAATAGAGAGACATCCCTGCTCACCTGCAGTATCTCACTGCTCCAGCTAAGAAACTGCTCTTCTAACAACTGGGCCACTACTATTTTTAATGTGCTATTTGAACTATAAAACCAAGAAGTATTAGTGTGCTTTGTGCAGTTCTTTCCAGTAGCCAGAAACCTGCTTCCCAGGCAGCACATGTACCACCAGTCAGAGAAAGGGTCTGTCAGCTGTGAGCACTGGGTATATCGTTCCCACTCAGCACAGCAATTACATTAAAAAGAGGAAAATATATTAAGAACATGAAATCTAAATTTGAAGTTTCCAAGACAACATTTTCTGGAGATGGACATTAAGATGCTAAAGATGTCTCCTCCCATTTTTCCTCATCAGTCCTTCTCCTGTTTCCATTAAAAATGTTGCCTCGCCTAAAATCAGAATTATTTCCTTACTACCCAACATGGAAAGTCTGCAGTGATTAAACAATAGGATTTTAGCGTAAGGTAGAGGACCAAACAGATTTCTCAAGCTTGTCTTTCTTTTTCAAAGCACCTCTTTGTACAAAGCAAGCAACAATTCTCCTTTGCAGATATTCTCTAAAAAGGAAGTCAGTGCACACAAAGCTTAAAAGGAGATGCATGAAGTCTTGTGGTTACTGGCTCAAGAGCAATAGTGATCTTAACACTGAGGATCTCAGCAGCCTGAAACTAGGCTTTGCTCTGCTCTGCCTGCTCCAGAGGAAGGAAAAGGCTCGCAGTCAGGCTAGAGCAGCAAGTGTACTTTATTCAAGGCTACTCATAAACCCCAAAGCTCATAATGGTTTCCATTCTTGCTAAAAAGCAAGCTCATAAAACACACCCAGAGCAAGAGAGGAAGCCTTACGCAAGGGCTGCTTTGCACTTTAAAGGTCAGGCAGACGTTACAGTGTTTCGGAGGTTCAGGACAGCTCCACCAAGAACAGCAGGTTCCAATAAGGAAGAATTCCTCATATATGTCAGCACCCTGCCTTTTGGAGAAGCCATAGATGAACTTTCATATTTGACCTTTTCCACTAATCTCATGTTCTTCCAGGATCTCCCATCATTATGTCCTGACCCTGGAAAGGCACAGCAACGTGCTCGCCTGTACAAAACACAGAAGCCTGGACCTCCGATTAGTGCATAGGAAAGTTTAGTATTTGTCAACAGCTACAAAGAAAAAAGCAGCACCATCAGTCTTACCACAAACCAAAAGACTAATTTAGAGCCCCAGCAAGCAATTCTACTCTAACCTTTTCTGATTAAAAAGGTATTGCACAAACATGATAAAGATCCAAAGGTAACCACATTGGTTGTGTTGTCTGAACTGCACCACTTTATTTTACTTCTAGTCAGTTATATGCTAGGCTTTCTAGCTTGACTATTTCGTATTATTTACTACTTTTATAAGCTATTTCCCTGTCTTCCCATTCTATTTAAGTAAATCCCTTTGCCTGTCATGCTTTCCACATTTTTTTTTTCTTTCATGTATCATTTATTTGCGTGTCTCAATTGGTATCTGACCTTTGTAAAAGTAACTTGATATACTGCTTGCTTTTTTCTGAAGAACTTTACTACGCTGCCACCCAGACCCCAGCACCCTCAAAGATTTTTGCAGAAGGGATAATAATTTCATTTGAAATACAATTCCATTTTGGGTAAGCTAATACTGCTTGAGGTTTGTTTAAAAAAAAAGTTTGTCAAACTACACAGTAAGAATTAAAGAGAACGCATAAAGTGCCACGTAACTCTGTGGTCCACTACTGCACCACTTGGATCAGCTGCAGCACAAATGACATAAGGCTTATTGCATTAAGAAACAATCTCAAACACCATTTTTTAATGCATATACTACAGATTAGAAGAGTCAATGAAAAAAGTGAAATCTCAGTTTCATTTCAAAGGTTTTTTTAAAATACTGTTAGAGAAGTCCTTACAGACTTCTGCCCAAAATGTTACATTTCAGATAGCAAAATTTGGGGAGTTACTGGTCAGATATCATCTTGGCTGCCAGGTACTCACCGAGTTTGGGTAGTTCAGATAGCAGATCTGACAAGGCATATCCTGGGCTGATGACCTCGTGTTCATCTGGCGCGTTCGAGACTTTTTACTTGGATTAATTACATGACACTCTGCAAAGAGCTTCTCCAAGTTGCCATCGAAGTACCTGCATAACACACGAGAATGAGAATTTAACTACCTTCCCTGTAAGTAATTTTTCAAATTCTATGTGGGAGTTAAATGTACAAAGTTGGTTATAGTATTTAAAAAAACTCACATACCCAGTACTTTTAACGAACTCTTCACTAACATAACACAACACAGTCCTGACCACAGAGGTGGATATTAGACAACTACATCATTTCAGAGATTCTGGCTTGAATTGCGCACTCCTGAAAATTCAGGTACCTTCAATTCCTCAGCTGCATTTCAAGTAATTCATGATTCTCCATAGTGATTGCTTTGCATTAAAACTCCAGGACAGGGAACTAGGGCAAAAACATCCTGCTTCACAGTCCAGACATCAGGGCACCTTCCTAAAGCACAGGTTTGATGCCCCCAAGTTCAACTCTCTTTTCAGCTTAAGCTTTCCATTTTTTTTTTTCCTAATATTCTAACCGCTAAAACATTAAAGATGAGGCAGGAAGCAGCAATCGGTCACAGGTTGTGCTTCTGCAGGTCCCTAGGTCCTGCACTTCATGTTTTCCTCCATATACTCCCCTCTACATTAAGCGTGCCCCAAAGAGGTCTTGACTTCAATTTTGACACTTCCTTCTCTGATCTAAGGAGAAACGCATCAGAGTCAGACGCTTGGTTCAGCTGATCAAGCACTTACGCATGGTCCCCGATCTCCAATTAAGGCAACTACAGGACTGCCTTTCACACACGTCAATCATCTCCAGAGTTTGTGAACAACTGCTGCTAGGTCTGGACTCTGATCTCCAGTTAGGCTAGTCTTCAATTTCACACACCTTGCCCATGTCCAATGCCTGCACAGTCCATCTCTTGGGCCAAAGTCCTAGGCGTTTCAGTGTCTTTTGTCTCCAGTCAACCTGAGATATTTTAACAACCTCCGAAGAAAATACAATTCCAGATTTACAACGCTTCCAAAGATTCGCTATCTCATGGAAAGGAGGATGCAAAATTGGCTGGGGGGAGATGAAAGACAACTTTCTTTCTATTTCCTATTCCCTTAAGGAAAAAAATACTGGTTTGGTTTACAGAGTAGCAGAAGGCTCTTCAACTTGGTGAGGAGGACCAGATCTGAAAGAACCATTAGTAGGCAGGTCAGCCTCTTCCCACTATCAAGACACAACATATCTTTCTCCAGCCTGCAGCAGCTGCAAAGAACTAATAAAACCTGACAATTAACCAGCTAACCTTACCTGCACATACATCCCCCATTCAAATCCAGTAAACAAGTAATTCCTCCCCCCATCATCATGAGCAAGTTAAATCCAAGTAAGGTGGCACCTACCTAGGAAAAAAATCCCCCATTTAAATCTAAGTGACTGCACTATGGTCAAGACCAGCAAATTTACTCCCAGCAGACAGCTGTCCATGTAGCTAAGCACACAGACAAGGCTGAAGTTAAAGAGTCTTTACAAGGCACATATTTAAACTCATCACAAACCAGACCAAAGAGATAATCTGCTGTCCGCCAACAGAAGAGAACCAAGACATTCTGGGGAAAGAAGTTACTAGGTGTAGCTCAAAAATGTGGGACTAGGCCTGGTATACAACTTCTTACCAAAACGCCTCTGGCTAGATCATCTTATCCCACAGCATTCCAAAAATGCCCCAAATCCATAGCACGTCTCTTACAGCACTACCTACCAACAAGACTGAACTTACAATTAAAAAGGGTTCATTTCACTGCTGGTTCATGTATTTCTTGATGCAGTTCACATACTTCAGATTTTAATTTTCAAGACACTGAATTTTGAAGGTTGTGGTGAATTCTCACATTGCAGCATACATGAGGCTTTGCCACTGTTCTTCAATGTTAGCTCAGGGATTTAACTCAACCGAGTTATTTTGTTTGTCCTCAGGATTACTTATATCTAGAAAATTTTATCAAGTGAATTCGGTGCAGTCCCATTATAGGCAGTATTTGTTTACTGAAGAGACATGGATAAATATTAACTCTGCAAAAGGTTTCCAGCCTTCAAATTGTTCTTACATGCAGTACGATCAGTGTAGGACATCCTTTGTTTCAGGAGACTAGATGAACAGTTGGGTGTTATGTTTGCAAAGAAAATAGCTTTGAATACAAACGCTGTGATGTAACTTTAACATTGGCATTAGTGGTCAGCTAAATGCTTAGAGAAATACCAGAGATATTTGTAATGGTGGGCTGTTTTTTAACGGGGCATATCCACATCAGGAACTTGACTTCACCACTTGCACCAGGTGGTTCTATTTTTACAAAATTTCTGCAAAAGCTGCTCTTCTGAGCCACAAGATCTACTGCCCTATGCCAAGATACATAGGCAGAAAGTCACCAACAACCGATTTTCACCTGGAATTACCTATCCCCTCTACATACCAATGGGTAACTAATTCAGAACCACCATTTCCTTCCCAGGCTTTCAGTAGTTTCCCAGTAACAGACAGAAAATAAATGACTTGACACCATGTGTTTCTCAGGGTTAAAGGCCAGTGATAAATGTAATTCAAGTAAGATGCATAGATTGGAGTCTTCAGTCAATTTAAATGTTTCCAAAGCACCGATACACTCCAAGCAGGCAGGTGCTTACATTTTGGCACAACAGCCACAGCCCATATTAAATCATTTCCATACCAAGTGCCTGGTCTTCCTACACTTACACAGGAGAAGCAAACAAGGCAACTCAGAGACTCTGCCAGGGCCATGTAGAGGAGAAAGAAAATATAAATCTAAGAAGGCTAAGTTTTGCCTTTTTAACTCTGCTGCACTCTTATCATATCCACTCTGTTCTTTGGGATTACCACTTGGAAACCTCACCAGTGTTGAGGAGAAACAGGGTACTGGGTATTCCTCCTTCCCCATGCTGTTTTAACGCATTTGCTTTCTTTGCTGTGCCAAAGCGCGTTGAACAAGTAATTTCCACAGCTATTTGTATGTATGTGTGTCAGACTCAAAATCATGCTGTCACTAGGCAATAAGAACTCTAGAAAATGCAGAAAACAACCTGGATCTCCTTGAAAATACGCGGTTCCAACGGATACCTCCAGAGTAAAGTCCAACACCTCTTCAACTGCTCCGCCACTCCTTATGCAAACACACAGAGGGCCCAGTCAGAAGACTCTTCCAGTTTCTTTAATAGTTAGGAATGAATCTTAATTCCAATTACCATGCCTTTTTTCCACTTGTTCAAGCAACAACACAGACCATCCACTTAAGCACATCTCCCTCTGCCCTTCCCATGTTCTTGGGTCGAAGGATTCACAGGCAGCAGCGGTACCACCCTTTCCCAACACAGCAGATAAGCCCCTCACATGGCATTTCTCCACTTCCCTGTCCCAGCAAACCTTCTGAACCACCGGTTTCCATTTCCATTCATCCTCCTTGAACCCAAGGAGGCGAAAAGAAATGCAATCCCAGTTAAGATTTCAACACAATCTCATACAATTTCACCTTTATTTCCACTGGAGATCTCACCTAATGCATCCCAAACGATGTCTACCTTTCTCCAGAGCTCCTTCATGTTAGCAGCTCCATTTTAATCTCTACTAGAAACCTCATATTCTTTTCCATCTCTGCGTTGATGAGACCTATCGTGACACTGTGTACCACTTCCATTGCTAGGATCCTCCCAGCTGTCTGTTTGTCCTGTATGACATCTGGATCCTCCTCTGAACAGATCTGGGCCAAGTCATTCATTAACACTAACAAACATTCATCCCAAAATTAACTGATAAGGGACTTACTAGCAGGTTCCATCTAGTCTGCTACTTCCCTTTAGAGCAAAGTAACTCTAGACGCACCATACTAATAGCTGAACCCAATGTATGTCCTATATTTTATATAATACAGTTGCATGCTATCATCTCTGCTGTGAAATGTGGGAGAAAAATCCTTTAATTCCCTCCTCACTTCGTTCACAACTCTAGGGGTTTTGATATTTTCCTCAAGATCTCATTATCAAAGGGTTGCTTCTTGGTAGCTCAGTCCTTATTTTCATCTTAGGCAGAGGCACAGCACCTTTAACAGCCTTTTAAATCCTCTGCCCTCTTCTCCCTTTGCAATCCAGATATTCAGTAATTCTAGCACTTCCAATACTTGAGAAATGTTATGGTCTATTCAACCAACTTTAGACTCTTTGCTCAATATAGCTGACTTGAACAACTGGTTCTATCAGTTTTTCAAAATTCATTCTCTTCATCACAAAGTTGTATTCTCCGCTATTTTAAAATGAATAGACACACCAGTGAATTATTGTCAAGTTCTTCTGTAATTTCTTGACTGCTTACCAACACCAAGTCCATAATAGTACCAAATCTTTTTGGCAGAGGGATCAAGCTGTCAGCTTCTTTATTTCCTCAAAATTTCCTCCTGCTGTTGGTAACTGCCTAATCACAATTTTCTAGACATAATCAAATCCTATCCAAGAGAGTATCAAAGATAAAAAGCCTTTTTACTGGGAAAAAAAAAAGCTTCTAGTACACACTTCAGGATACTTACTTTAGTGAAAGAACATTTGTCAATGTTAAAGAATCGGTATGTTTGCAGGAAAAGATATCTTCATACCAAAATGCCTGCCATACACGATTTTTCACCTGTTCAGTCTCTGCTGAATAGCGTTAAGTACTTATTTGCCCAAAGGAAAGCAGATGGCCAAGTACCTACAGAGAAGAATCAGACCCTGAATGCAAGGGGAAGAGGTAATCTGGGCTAGCAGCCAAGCCACCAGGGCCATCCTGGCATCCGTCCACTGCTCAGAGGGAACGGAGACATGAGTCCACCAAGGTAAGCACCTGTGAGGGACTGCAATACCTCTGCTTGTACCTCCAGGCGTTAAATGGGGCCTTTCCTTACATGCTGGAATACTTTACTTTTTTTAAAAAAAAAAATGAATAGCGGAACACACAAAGTGGGAGAGCTGCATTTTAGTCTCTTCATTGTGAGGAGGTTCATCCCCAAAACTCGCCTCAGGCAGGACAGATGCTATCAGCCATAGTAAAACTGGAAGGTAATCAAGATAAAGCTACAAGCTAAAGCACTTCCCTCACTTATTTCTGAGGTTACCTGGTCAGTCTGCACTTGCTAGTCTCCCGTCTCTACTAACCAAGCTTATGAGACAGAGGAAAATGTAATATTTAACATTTTTATTCTCCAAAACACATGCACCATATCAGAAGCTGAACTCAAGTACTTCCTCCACTACCCACTTCCATCCTACAAATAAATCCACCCCAAAACACCGATTTTTCTTTCGGATACAGCCAAATAATTAGTGCTTGACCAGGGATAGGGTACTTTTTTCAATTGTGGCTATTACTTCGCTGTAAGTGGAATAAATACCTGTAATATATCTGCCCTCTTAATAGTGCCATGCAATTATTCCATGACAAAGCTGATACAGACAATAACAACCTGCTTATTAAAAATATGCATAATACAAAAAAGCGATGTAAAGGTTTCCATGTTTTAAAACACAGAAGTTTTTATCTCACAAGCTCAGACCTCACCACACTCAACACTTATCAAAGAAGCAGCCATTTTGTTCATCTGCTTTACTACAGGCAAAGTTTGATAAGGCTGCCTGTTAGGTCATGCTGACTCATAATGAACTAAGGTAAAACAGACACTGGTTAGATACTGTAAATACACGCCATTAAGCAACTGAGTTCAAGCTCTGACTTGGTGTGAAACCAAGCACCAAAAATTGCACCCAAACATTACATCTTAGCAAGCATTAAACCCACCCAGACTGCAGGCAACAACAGGAATTTCCTGGGAAGTCTTCCTAATGATTATTAGGAGTAAAAGAGGCCATATATAATGGCCTTAAATAAAAAAAATTTATTTAAACAGTTCAACTGTTTAAAGTAAGAGTCCCCCAGGAAAATGAGAAAATACATATATGTCTTCAACACTGTTGCAGAACATGGATTCACTTGGTGTGAAAGAACACTGCGTGTAAGCGCTTTTACTTGGTGCCCAAGAGAAGCGCAATAGCAGCCATGACCTGCTGGCTCCCCAGCCCAAGCGGATGCTCTGGCCCCAGGGACAGGCTCTGCCCGGGTTTAGCCTGCACAGCAATGGGTGCACCCCAACAGGCAAGCCAGCACACAAGTTCAGCCATTAGTGAGCTGGAGAGTCCAGGCACAAGACTTGTTTTGGGTCGGACACTGAAGACACAGTGAATGGATAGTGTTGATCTCCAGTAAAATGTAAGTTCTGGGGTTTTTCCCCTTAAAAAAAATAAAGTAGTGTTTAATTTTATTTTTTTTTCCTTATTAGAGCATGCCCCTCCACCTCACCATGAATGCTTCCCAGTGTTTTTCAGCTCATTTACACTAGCACAACGCTGCTCTAAGTTTTGCTGGACACACACAAAGCCAAGCAAGTCTCAAAAGTAATCTCTGTTTTGGAAGAATAACCAAGTCTAAATTTGGGCTTAATCAGCTTGTCATGTTTGTCTAAATGAGAATCACCTCTGCCTTAGCAAAAAGAGGTGACGTGTAGCTAGTTCACGGCATCATTTCCAGCTCCATCACTATTTCAAACCAATTGTTTTGCATCATGGCTACTGAAATGACCACCTGCTTCCCACCCTTGCCTTCACCTACTACTGCAGCAATCACAAAATCTTCTTGAACACTAAGAGCTCTCAGCCTCTTCCCCAGCCTCCCACTCCTGCTTTAACACAGCTGAGCATCAGCTATTTGGTGAAGAAGTGACAAAAAGCAGCACTACCTACTTGAAAGAAAATGTTTTAGCACCAAAACTAGTGTGCAGTAGGTCTGCATAAGCAAGGGTCACGTATTATATTACTCACAGGGGTAATCCTATAGAATTAAGTATTTTAATTAATATGTACCAAGAGTAAATATTTACCTGTTGACTTTGTAAATATTTATGTGTACTTAAAGTGTTTTGGTTGGAAACTGTAAAAGTCTTAACAATAATACCTCACATAGAAGTGGCTGACACCCCTCTTTGGAAAAAAACACAGCCCAATTTTTTTTTTTTTTTAAATTGATGGCAGCCTTATCAAACAAGCTCTAAGTGAGAAGGGAAAAAACGTGTTGAATAAAAGGATGACATTTTAGTACACTTATGTAGAGGTATCTCAAAGTGAGATGGAGGTAGCCGAGGAGAGTGAACTTTAGCCTGACCAAAAGAACCAGCTCAAAAAACGCAAATACATAGAAGTGAACAGACACACCTTTTAGAGAAGGAACTAAATCAGAATGTTTAACAGTTGCAGTCAGAGCTAAATAGCCTCAACAAGACCATATTTGCAACACACAGTTTTTGTACTTCCAGCATTAACTAAAAAGAGGCCAATCCCAGGAAAAAAACAAAGACTAGAAAGCTTTAAGAAAATACAATCACTTGG